TGGAAAAAGATGTCATGCTGGTAAAGGTGGAGGGTCAGCGGGACAGGAAGACCTGCGCCAAGATGGACTAACCCAGCGACTTAAGCAATGAGCTTGAACTTGGCGTACGTTTTAAGGAGGACACAGGACAGGGCAAAGCTTTGATCTGTTCAGGTTGCTTTGAGTTCTAGTCAGTTGAATGGTATACAACAACAACATTAAATGATAGGTGTCCTAGTGACACGGTGGTTAAAGTGCTAATTGTTGTTTGTGTTGTTAGGTGCCATTGAGTTGACTACAACTCGCAGTGACTCTACGAAGAACGCATCTGAACCCAGCTGTATCCACACCGCCCTCATGATCTGAGAGGCTCAAACTGCTATTCCAGTGTCACGCCGTCTTGTTGAAGGTCTTCCCTCTTCCCCTGACCCTTCACATACTTTGGACACGCTGTCAGGAGGGCCTAGTTTGTGGACATTACGCTGGGAATTTTCCAATTTTGGAAGAAGCAAGAGATTAGGAGTTCAAACCCTCCAGCAGCCCAACTTCCGTAAAGATCAAAAGGCCTTATCTGTGGAGCCGCTTCCCACCTGTCCTGTTTCTGAGGCTGTGAAACTTTACGAGAGGAGACGGCCCACCTTTCTCCCTTGGAGCCTCTGGTGGATTCGAACCACTGACCGACCAGTGAGCAGGGCATCAGATAACACACCACAGGGACGTTGCACTCAGTGCTGCAAGGCTGTTATGTTGTTGTTGTTGTAGATTGTCAATTCAGAACCGACCCACAGCTGACTCTCCCGTGGGTCTGCAGAGGCAGTTACTTGAATGGGAGAAGATTGCCCATCCTTCTCCCTTGGCCCCGGTGATGGATTTGAACTGCTGACCCACTGGTTAGCAGGATAGCAGGTTACAGTTAACTGGAGCAGTTCCTCTGTGTGCTATAGGGTGGTTATGAGTTGAAATCAGTTTGAAGGCACTGAGATAGGTGTTGGGGGGGGGGAGGGTGTCTTCATTTCACAGAGGAAGAAACGGTAACTCCCAGAGGTTCAGAATGGACCGACAGGACACACACAGGAACTGGAAGAGAATGTCCAAGCCCAGCCTGGAGAGCAGGGCCGGGCCGGGGCTCCCGCCTTTGTCCTGTTCACTGTTTAGTGAGTTCGGACTCGTGAATGGTTAACTCAGTTTGCACGGGGCAGAGCTGCTCCAGAGATGGGTTCCCCCTCGTTCTGTTTTTTATTTTTAAAGATGAATATACTTTTTCTTTTTTCCTTATTAAGTTTAATGAAAGTTTCCAGAGACTTTGGATTTCCGTTCATTCATTGTTGCACTTTTCTTCCTGCCCACCACCCAGTTCTCTCTTCACTTTGAAAAGTAAAAGAAAAATTCTTTCATTGTTATGCAGTCCCTCCCCCTAAGTCCACCCCACTGTGCAGCCTTCATTCTGGACTCCTGTCATGACAGTAATACCTAATTATATATCCCTTTTAAACAGTTCTCTCCCTCATCTGTTTCAATGCAGTATGCATTATTTATCCCATCTTTCTCAGTCTCCCCCCAACCCCAGTGTCAGTCTTGTTTTACAACAGTGGCACTATGCTGTATTTGCCCTTTTGTGACTGAGATATTTCACTCAGCATAATGTTCGCCAGGGTCACCCATTTTTAATACTATTTCTTGAGTTCCTTGTTTTTCAGTGCTGCATAGTATTCCATTGTGTGAATATACCAGAGCTTCTCTATCCATTCGTTTGTTGATGGCCATTTGGGTTGCTTCCAGTTCTTTCCTGTTGTCAACAAAGCTGTGATAAACATGGGTGTGCTTATATCTCCTTGGGTTGTGGTATATTTTATTTTTGTGTGACTTAATGTACGTTTAAAGAAACTTTGCATTTTCTTTTTTTATTATTATTTT